TTTTCCCCCCCCTCATTTATATAAATTCAGAATTATGCTTAGTTTTAAGTTCTTAAACAGACTATTTTTATTTTTGTTCTCTACTTTTTAGTTTTGTTTAAATATATATTATTTGTTAAAAAAAAAAAAAAAAAAATTCTTATACACATAAAATTTAATAAAATATTTTTGTTGATATATATAAATTTTCGATTATAATGTTTCATTATTTTATCATATAATTTTACAATTATATAATAATAAAGTTTAATAGATAAAAAAAAAAAAAAAAAAAAAAAAAAAAAATGAGCTTTAATTTGTTTCTTAAATAAACAATTCGTTAAAATAAATTCTATTATAATTTGATAAAAAAGTATAAAACTTCTAAAATTAATAACGTTGAGACATATTTTTATAAATCCTTATTAAATTTTTTTATAAAAAATATATGTCTATACATTTACTTCAATAAATAAAAAAAAAAAAAAAATAATTATGAACATAAATTTGTGTAATTTAATCTTTTTTTTTTCCGTATCCTTAATTATTTAATAAAAGAGACAACTTGTTATAAAATTATAAAACAAAAATCTATAACATTTATTACACTTTTACACTTTTTTTTTTTATATCATTTAAGATTTTAAAAATTATTGCATTATATTTCTATTTTATTTTTATTAATTTTTATCTTAAATAAACATAATAATTTATATTAAATATGAACAAATATATATTAGAAAAAAAAATAAGAAAATAGAAAAATATATTATTGATTATATAAAAATTAAGAAACAATTATAGTACCAATATTTAATAAATTATTTCAATGAAATAATACTCAAGTTAATACAACATTTAAAAAAGAATTAACTCAAATATACATATATATTTTTATTTTTTATCTAAAGAAAGTTAATTAAAAATACAAAAAAAAAATCTATAAAAATAGTTTATTTTTAATGTATATCATGAAAATATAATAAAAAACTATATTTTTCCTAGAATTATATCTTCTTTTTATATGGAATATTTTAAAAGTATAAATAAAACATGTCTTTTTTTTTTTTTTTTTTTTTCTACTTAATAGAATTATTATTACATAGTTTTATTTGAGAATTAAAAAGGACTAAAAAATATAATAAAAAAATTTATTTTACATAAATTTTTTTTTTTTTAAATTTAAAAAACATTTAATGTATCATTCAAAGAAGATTGTACAAGAATATGTTACTTGTTCTGAGGGGAATACCTTTATAATTTATTCACAGAATTTATTAAGTAGCGAAAGTAAAATAAAAATTGATTCTACTTCTATTGTAATGGAAAATAATAATACTAAAAATTACAACAATGAAAATGAGATATTACTTTTTTTACATGGATTAAATGGGAGTAGTTATCAGTTTGAAAATTTATTTTCCCATTTAATCCATTCTAATTATAAATTTATGTCATTAGGTTATATTTAAAGAAGTTAAAAAAAAAATTGTTTATATATTAGAAAAATTTCAATGATTTCAATAATTTCAATGATTTCAATAATTTTAATAATTTCAATAATTTCTATTTTTTGTTTTGTAATAGATTTATACGGTCACGGAAAAAGTACCTTGTTAAAAAACTTAAATAAATATACAGAAAAATTATATATCGAACAAATTTATGATGTTTTGAAAAAAAAAAATATTTTTAATTCTAATTTTGTTATCATTGGTTTTTCTATGGGATGTATTATTGCTGGTAGTTTTTTTTTTTTTTTTTTTATAAATATCGTACTTCATTTTATTTTTAACAATTATAAATTTATTATTTTATTTTTTTTTTTTTTACTTTATTAGCCCATTTATCAATTGATAATAAAATAAAAATAAAAAAGTTATGTTTAATTAGTGCTGCAGGATTAGCTAAACCTAAACATCGATTTTTACAGTTAAGTGTTTTATATAATATACAAAAATAAAAAAATAATAAAAATAATTTATAAAAATGTAGAATTAGTAATTATAAGGAATTATTTCATATTTTATTTTTTGTAGATTCTTATTAAAACATAACATACGCTTTTGTTTAAGAGTAGCAAAAAAATATAGCCATTTAATTGTCTCTGAGGATTCAATAAAAGTTATATGTATAAAAATATTATATTTTTTACAACATTTTTTTAAATTTTATTTATTTTTTTTTTTCAAAAATTTAGAGTGAATATTTTGATTACCATAATAATATAGAAGATGTAAATAAAAGATACTTAATTCTTAAAGAAAATGTAAAAATATATTTTGAATATTTTCATTTATAAATTGTCTTAGATTTTATATATATGTAAAACAAATTTATAATTTAACTAAAATATGTAATTCTTATAATAATATACTTTTTGTATTATTTCTTTATGCTTTTTACGTGTTTTTCTTTCTTTTTTTTTTTTTTTTTTTAAAAAAACAGCATGAAAAATTCATGGAGACATTTTTAAAAGTAATAACAGGAACAAAAATACAAAATTCTAAAAAGTATTATTCAGCTTTTCTAAAAAAAAATCATGAAGTTCTTTTCATATATGGGTAAACATATTACATATAAGTTATTTAAATGATATATATATATTTTTATAATTATTCTAATCTTTTAAATAAAAATATATTCTTTTCTTATTTTTATTTTTAATTATTAATAAATTATATTTTCATATCACTTTTTTTTTTTTTTTTTAATTTTACATATTAAAACTAAACATATATATTTTATATAATTCATTAATTAAAAATAATATAAAAAAAACTTTTTTTCTCTAAAAGTACATTATTATAAAAACATCATTCTTTTTTATTTTTCTATTATAGCAAAGATGATAATATAACTCCATGCATCTATACATTAAAATTTTTAGAAAAACATGAGAAATACTTAAATAATGTTAAAGTGGCAATTTTTCCTGAATGTTCCCATCTTGTTTTAAGTGAAAAATGTAATGAATTAATTAAGCATTTAATTTATTTTTTACAAAATAAATAAAAAAAAATATGTAAAAATGAAAATAGAAATAGATAAATATTTTTTTTTTTTTTTAAATTTGTAAAATAAAAATTTTGAATAAATTTTCAATTTATTGTAAGTCTTTAAATTTTTTTAATATTTTTACTTTCTCATTTTATGTAATATTTTTATATATTTATATATTATATACACATCTATATTCAATATAGCTATATTTTAAAAATAATTAATGTTATAATTTTTGCTTATTATTATTTTTTTAATTGCATAAATTGACAAAAAAAAAAAAAAAAAAAGTTAAAAATAAATAATATTATATATTATAAAGTAATATCATCTATAAATAATGAAATACATAACTTTTCTTTTATTTTTATTTTAAAACTTTTACTTTTAAATATTATTTTTATAAATATGAAAGAAAAAAAAAAAAAGGTGATAAATTGTTTTATGGTTTAATATGTGTACCTTTTTTTTAATTTTAAATAATTGGAGATAATAAAGAATTTTAATTTTTTTTTATTTATATTATAATAATAATAAGAAAAAATATTATATTAAAGATTATGTTGATTAATGAAGGAATTATTTCTTATAAGCGTCAAATAAATTGATACCAAAACAAAGGTGTTTATTCATAGAAGAAATTAATTTTTTTAAAATTTAAAAAAAAAAAAAAATTTATTAAAAATTTCTCTATATAAATCACAAATTTTATTTAATTTTAATTTATATAATATTTAGCTTAAGTTATATGAATTAACTTTGTATTATAATTTTATTAATTTTATTAATTTTATATGTAAATTAATTTTATTAATTTTATATATAATTCATTTATATAAATTATTGTCAATATAATTTTTGTATGTTTTTTAATTACTTCCATAAACTATATATAAAAAAATAAAATAATGTAGATTAATTTTTTGCATCATTTTTTTTTTAAATTTAGTATTTTTAATAATATATTGTTTCCATAATTAAACTTGTTATACGTAAAAATTATCCTGTAAAAAATAAATACTACTATTAAATTGTTATTTTTAAACATAATATTTTTAAAAAAAATTATTACTCTTATATATATACATATGAATAAATTAAATTTTTTATATAATTATAATTTGATTTATATTTTATTACATATTAAGAATTTAATAAAATAATTTTTTAATTCATTTATTTTTTTTTTAGTAAATTTAATTTTTAATATAATAAATTGAAATTATAAAAAAATTAATAGAATAGTATATTAGTAATTCAGTAAACTCATAATTAAATAGTTTTATATTATAAATTGAAATTTTAACAAATTATTATTTTTTAAAAATTATCTAATATATATATACTTTTGAAAAGTTTACTTTTAAAAGATTGTATTTATGCATTTGAAATGGATTCTTTAGAAGATGAAAATGTAAGAACAAAATATATTATAGTAACAGGTGGTAATATGAGTGGGTTAGGAAAAGGAACAGCGATGAGTAGTATGGGTGTATTGCTATTGACAAAAAATATTTTATTAACAACAATAAAAATAGATCCTTATTTAAATATAGATGCAGGAACTATGTCCCCATATGAACATGGAGAAGTTTATGTATTGGAAGATGGAGGTGAAGTAGATCTAGATTTAGGTAATTATGAAAGATTCTTGAATATTAAATTATCATATAAAAATAATATAACTTCAGGAAAGATATATGAAGAAGTTATAAAAAAAGAAAGAAAAGGGGAATATTTAGGAAAAACTGTTCAAGTAGTACCTCATTTAACAGATGCTATACAGAAATGGATAAAAGAAGTTATTGATGAAAATATAAAAAAAATGAAAAAAGAATACAATATTGATTCTTTTAGTAAAGTACCATGTATATGCTTAATAGAAGTAGGAGGAACTGTTGGTGATATTGAATCAGCTGTATATTTGGAAGCATTACAGCAGTTAATAAATAATCTTAATTCGGATGATGTTTGTTTATGCCATTTATCATATGTTCCAATTATTGGAAACTTAAGAGAACAAAAAACGAAACCAACACAACATAGTGTTAAAATTTTAAGGGAAGCAGGATTAAAACCAGATTTCATTTTTTGTAGGTGTGAAGAGCCATTAACGAAAGAAGCTATTCAAAAAGTTTCTTTATTTTCACAAGTTAAAAATGAACATGTTATATCACTGCATGATACTTCAAATGTATATAAAGTTCCTTTAATATTAGAACAGCAAAATTTTAGTAATAATGTTTTAAAAAAATTAAATTTGCAAAACATTGTTTTAAAAAACAAGTTAAATATTTCTCCTTACTCTTTTAATACATGGAAATTACTTGCAAATAGATATGAAAATTCAAATGAAACTGTTGTTATTGGTATCGTTGGAAAATATACTGGTTCAAATGATACTTATTTATCTATTATATCTTCTCTTGTTCATGCTTGCTTGGAATGTGGATACAAATTAATTATTAAATATATCAATAGTAGCCATTTATCACTAAAAAAAAAAAAAAAAAAAAAAAAAAATATGGATATTAATAATAATGTAAATAAATATTCCTATGATATTTCTTTAGATAATAGTAATACTCAGAAAAATACTTTTGTTGATGATACTACATCAGAAGAAGATTATGAAGAAAAAAGAAAAAAAAAATATGAAAATGCATGGAATACTTTAAAGTCAGTTGATGGTGTTTTAGTTCCTGGAGGTTTTGGAACAAGAGGAATTGAAGGAAAATATTTATCATCAAAATATTGTCGCCTACATAATGTACCTTATCTAGGTATTTGCTTAGGTATGCAAACTGCTGTTATTGATATGACAAGAGAATTTTTAAATAAAAATGCAAATTCAGAAGAATTTGAAGATATTATTGAAGAGAATAATAAGGATGATAATATTATAAATAAAGAAAAAGAAGAAAATAAAAAAGATAACACTTGTTTAAATATTAATACAAAGAAATTAAATAATAACACAATTAATTTTACTAAAAAAAACGATTTTCACAAAAATAATTATAATTCTGATAAAATTAATATTAACACTTTTAATAATTACCAGAATAACATATCAGAGGAGAATTCTTCATATAACATAGAAAATGATATAGAAAATCATTTAAACCAGGATAAAATAAAAAATTCAAATATAAAAAGTGAAGATAAATATAAGAATAATACTAATGATAATGAATTACTAAACTATGATATTGAAACTGTAGATAATTTTTTACAAAATCATGAATATATGAATGATGTTTCGAAGAAATTATTACATCCAAAATTATTAGAAAAAATTCAATTAATGAACATTCAAGATTATTATAAAAGTATTTCAGAAATTGATAATAATAATGTTATAATATCTATGACAGAATTTAAAGGTGATAATAATAAAGGGGGTTCTATGCGTTTAGGAATGAAAAAATCTAAAATAATTGATAAAGAATCATTAACCTACAAATTATATGATGAAGCAACTTATATATATGAAAGACATAGACATAGATTTGAAATTAATCCTAAATATGTTCCTTTATTAGAAGCAGTTGGATTAAGTTTTGTAGCGAAAGATATCCATAGTGTTAGAATGGAAATATGTGAAATTAAGAATCTTGATTTCTTTATCGGAGTTCAATTTCATCCAGAATTTACATCAAGACCATTTAAAGCTAACCCTATATTTTTAGCATTTGTTTTAGCTTCAAAAAAAAAACTAAAAGAACGATTAGACAAATATGAAAATAAGTTATACTCAGGAATTTTTTACAAAACATAACAATATAATCAAATAAAATTAATAAAAAAAAAAAAATTTACGATAATAATAATAAAATAATGAAAATTGCACATCAATTATTTTATTTTTTTTTTTTTTTTTTAAATTATATATATTATATTTTTATGTAAATCACTCTTCACATTTTGAATAAAATATTTTTAAAACACATTAATTATAAATAACGTTTTATAAATTTTTTAATTAAAATAAAATGGAATTAATTTTATATAAAATATTTATCTTTTTAAAGAAAAAATTAAATATAATTAAAAAAATTTATGGATATTTTTTTAATCATTTTTTTTTTTTAATAACTTAAAAAGAGCTATTGATAATTTGCTTTAAATGTACAAAATACAATTCTTTACATATATATATATATTTTTTTTAATTATTTATATTTGCTTAATTATTTAGATAAATCATTGAATTTTAATTAAAAAATTAAATTTTAATAAACTTTTTTCATTTTTTTTTTTTTTTTATAAATTAATATATTTATTATTTAATATTTTCAAATTTAAAATTATTTGAATAATTATTTTACATAAATATTTCTTTTTTTCCAAATTTTTTAATTAACAACACTTTTAATTATTATTTAAATAAATGTATTATATTTTTTAATAATTATATATTTTTATTTTTTTATTTTTTAATATTTAAAGAAATTCCTTTAAATAAATAATAATAAAATATATAAAATTTTGTATATTATTTATTTATATTTTTATATAATAATATTCATAATATATGTAAAAAAAAAAAAGAAGAAATAAATAAAATTAAATAAAGAATAAGATTATAATATTTTTTTTAAAACGTTATAAATGTATATAAATATTACCATATAAAATTATAATTTTTCAAAATTGTATTTTGAGAAATACAATTTTTTTAGGTTAATTTAGGAAGCATATTAAAAATGTAAAATAAATTATTTAAAAAAGACATTTTAAAAAAAAAGAGAAAAAAAAATTTATAAGAAATGTTAGACGATATGAACTAAATAAAGATAGAATTAATTGAACAATTGTGTAAATTATTTTAACTTTTAATATTTCAAATTTTATAATTATCAAAAAAAAAAAAAAAAAAAGCAAAGTTTTTTATTTTTTAACTGCAATACAAATTATATAGCAAATGTTATGTTCATAATATCCAATTTTAAAAGGTCATTCCACTGTTATTTATGTTATAATAAAACAATAAAATAAAGGTCCATTTTAATTTTACTGAAGTTTTTACTGTTATTAAGTTATTCTTTTATTAATTCTTCATAAATAATAAATTTAAGAAAATAATTTAGATTAATTAAATTATATATTTTATAAGACAATAAAAATAATATGGGAAAATGCATTGTCCTTAAATAAAAATACAATTTTAAAAATTGATAATTAGAAAATTTTTGATAAAGACTAATACGAAAACTTTAAATAAATTATCTTAACTACATGAATATAACACGTAAAATGTTATTTCAATAAGCATAAAAAAAAAAAAAAAAAAAGGCAACCTTTTTAAAAAAACATATTAACTTGATACTTTATAAAAAGATACATACAATAATTTTTTATATTTTTTTTTAAAATTTTATAATAATATATCATTAGTATCTACATTAAATTTTGTTAAGACAAATAGTAAAACAAAAAAAATAATTATTTCATAATTTTAAAAAAAAGTTTTATATATTAAATTTTATTTGAATTATTTTTACATAAAAAAGTAGACATAAAAAAAAAAAAAAAAATGTGAAATAAAATTGTATGTATTAAAAAAAAATAAATAGGATAAAAATAAAAGGTATATAAATAAAACGAAAATTACAAAAAAAAAAGTTAATAATAATGAAATTTTAATTTATAACAAAATATAATATTACTAAGTAAAATCGCAAAAATAGTTAATTCGAAGTTATTATCTTTTCCTTCAATATATATTACATCAAAACCAGCAATAAAAAAATTGCTTTCTTCTGGAGCTTCTTTCGAATTAATAACTAACAATTTTTTTAAATTATAATTTATATTATTTACAACATAGTTGTTTTCATTCTTAGATATATCCTTATTAAAACACTACAAAAAAAAAAAAAAATGTATATATATATATATATAATAAAAATATAACAAATGTATAAAAATTAATTAAAATAAACTATTATAAGCATAAAAGCTTGTATATTTCCATATATTTTAAAATATATAAATATACATAACATATTTCAAAAATATATTCATATATAAATATAATTATCTATTTTTCTTTTTTAATTACATAAAAAAGTTCCTTTCCTATAAGTTCTGTATACAGAGGTAGTATAAAATATGGTATTAAAAAATAAGAATTTGTATACACACATTTATGAACAAAATAAATAAATATATTATTACTATACTGATTAGCTAATAGTATACATGATTTTTCATAAATAATTTTTAATAAACTAATACGTGATGTTTTGAAAGCAGAAGGTAAAATATGCTCTTTAGGTATAGTTTGAACACTTATAGGAATAAATTTTGTCGTAAATAAATTTTTCGTAATTTTTGTAAATTTAATTTTCAATAAATACAATTTACATTTATCTGCTGATAATATTAAATATTTGCTTAGTTTCTTTTTTTCTTCTTTACTTACTATTGCTTCATGTATTTCCTTATTTTTATTTATACAACAAACATTTTTTTTTTTCTTTTTTTTATTAATATGAGAATATAAAAATCTGAATGTTGATATATTTAGCATTACTATATTTTTTTTATATTGAGGAAGCAATGAGAAAAATAAATTAAAAGAACTCTGAAATTTATCTTTTGATGAATTTTTTTTTTCATAATCACTCAAGGGATAATCTTTAACACTAGAAATGTCTATGTTTTTAGAATTGAATATATAATTTCTCATTTTTATTATATTTTTATATATGTTTTCACGTGTTAATGTATACTTTTTTCCTTTGAATAAATTATTTGTTAGATATAGGAAGAAATTATACTCTTCTTTTGATAAAAAACGATTTAATAATTTTTTATTTATTTTATCCATTTTTCCTTCGGTACTATTAATATCTTTATCTAATAATTTACAATTTCTTAATGTAAGTAAATAAATTATCTTTACTACTTTTAAATTAATATAAAAATTATCATTGATAAATTTTTTTTCAAATATAAATTTCCTCTTTAAATAATTCTTTAATTCTTCAATATTAACTTTTAAAATAAAAATTATATCTCTGGATTTCTTTTGTAAATAACTTTTACAATTCGTGTCATTTTTTGTTGTCTTTGTTTTACAAATATATATATCAGTTTGAAATATTATATTATTATGTTTTTTTAAAGATGATTTTTTTTCGTCATTTTTTTTTTTAACAATATTTTTATTTTTAAAACTATTTTCAATATATCTTACATTTACTAGAATTAATCCTCTTCCACAATATTTATACAGATTTTGTAATATATTTATGTTAGAAAAGTAATTAATTTTATAATTTTCCTTTTCTGAATTTAGAAAACATATATTAAATTTTTTTTTTTCATTTTGTAATACTGTTTTTAAATCTCCTTTTTTTAACACATTATTACTATTAAAAAATTGATTCTTCTTTTTTTTTTTTTTTAAATAACATATTTCTTTTCCTTTTTCATATGAAAATGTTCTATCTACATAATTTGAACTTTTTTTTTTTTTTTTTTTGGACTCTTTTAAATCTCTTTTTTTGAGGTTACTTCTTATATTATTATTATTCATATTTTTCTTTATTTTTTTTGTTTTTTTTTTGTATTTTTTGAATGTGTCACTTAAATAAGAATTAAAGGAATCCGTGGAATAAAAATCACTTTGGTACTTTTTGAAATCATTGAAATAGTTATGAAAAATATCCTCTTGAATATGTTTTTTATAACTTTTAAAAAATTCTGAATCTTTATTTACTTTTTTTTTTTTTTTGTTATTACAATTATTGGTATTATAAATATTATTTTCCTTAAAAAATTTATGATGCTTAATAATTTTATTTTTATAAGATATATTTATTATATTATTTATAACATTATGAAAATTATTTATATTATTTTTTAATATAATAGTGTATCCTTTGTTTTTAAAAGAACTATTATTATTATTATTATTATTATTATTTCTTTTTTTTTTTAAATTTCTCCATTTTTCTTTTTTACAATAGTCATTTAATAATTTTTGCTTTTTTATTAGTTTTAAATATAATTTAAATTCATTATTAATTTTGTTATAATCATTGCTAAGAATCCTATTTTTCTCATTGAAATAAATGGAATGATTTAATAAAATTTCTTTTAATATTTTTAATTCATTATAATTTCGTGTAATGTGAAAATTAAAATACAAATTTGGTTTCAAATTTTCATATTTATTAATATATTTAATAAGAATTTTATTTTTTATATGATTATATAATCCCCTAAAACATTTCATATCAGTATACTGATTCATTAATTTTTGAAAAGTGAATGTCCATTTACTAATATCAGCTTTTTCTTCGTACAGTAAAAAATTTAAACTAAATTCATCTCTTATTTTATGTATATATTTGTAAAAAAGTGATTTTTCATACATATTTTTTTCTAAATAATTTATGTCTGATTCATCATCATTCATATTAATTTTATACTTAGTTTTTATTCCATTATTTGAGGATGATAATTCATCATTTGACAAATTACTATCTTCACTTTCTGAAAGGTTATAATATAAATTACTCATTTTATTCTTTTTTCTATTATTTTCAATAAAAAAATTTAATTTATCAATTTTACTTTTAAAATTTCTATTTAAAACACTTTCGCTATCATCAGAATAAGTCATATTATAATCTGTTAAAATATGAGGATAATCAAGCAAACTTTCTTCATCTAATTTCACTTTATGATTTGGGTAATATTTATCACATTTAAGTGGATGAATTAAAATATATGGTTTGAGTAAATTGAGGGATATATATTTCATTGCTGAATATAGCCTTTTTATTTTTTTTATATTATATTTCTTATTTTTATTTTTATCAGTTAATATTTCTAAAATATATTTTATTTTATTTTCTTCTAAATATTTTGTTTTCTTAATGTTAGTTCTATATAGATACATAATAAAATTATTGAAATTTTCGGATAATTTATTTTTTATTCTTAAAAATGAGCATCTGAATAAATGAAAAATAGAATATTTTTCAAATAAGTTTAAAAAGTTGTTTAAATTAATATAACTAAACGGAAAGTAAGAAGAGTAATTAAAATTATACCTATCTAAAAATTTTTCTTTGTGAAATAAATCAACTAAGAAGTCAAAATTACTGACATTTTTCTTAATAATAAAATCACAGCTCCAACCCATATATTTTAAACTTTGCTTACAGAGTATATCATTATTTTTTTTCTTTATTAATTCTTGTTCTTTTTTTATTTGCCACAATTTCGTATCATGATATAATTTCTCAAAAACATTTTTTTTATTTGCATAATTAATTTCTAATGATATATTTGAGTATATATTATTAAGAAAACAATTGCTATATGTCTTCTTGTTTTTCTTTTCACCACTATGAGGTAGTATATGATCATAAATATTAAAATTTCTTTCTAAATTAAAATTTTCTATATTATATGGATACCATAATACAACACTTTTATCAACTGAACATGATAATAAAAAATTACCATCTGGGGAAAACTTTACACATGGAATGTTATGCTGATGATGTTTTATAACTAATTCATAAAATCTAGATGAAACATCAAAAAATAATTTATATAATATATCATACCAATCTGCAGAATAAAAAATAACATTTGAAAAAGTCCACATTATTTCACTTACGAATTTTTCTACATATTCTTTATTTATTTTATTTAGAAATTTTCTTCGTATTTCTTTAGATATATGCTTAATATGTTTTTCATCATAAAAATAATTTCTTATTTCTTTTTCCTTATAATGTATTAGAGAACTAATATTATAATTAAAATTTTGTTTTATTTTTTTAGTAAAAATATTATTTTTATTTTTTACTTTATTTGAATTATTCGGTAAATTCGTATATCTTAATTTTTCATCGTACTTTATTTTACAATCTTCTGTTTTTCCCATATTATCATTTAATTTACATTTTTTAAGAATGTTCATTATGTTTAAAATTTTATTTTTATCATCCATTTCTTTTTCATATTCCCCTTTTGCTCTTCTTTCTTCAACTACTTCATTATTTTTTTTTTGTTTTTTCTCCTTTATTTCTTTAACTTCATAATAATCTTCTTGAAGTAATACTTTTTGTATCCATTCTGATTTAATAGTAAGAGTATCATTTATTTTTTTTTTATTTAATATTTCTTTTCTATCACTATCATTTTTCTCTGTGTTTTCATTATTTTCTTTCTTACTTAAAAGGGGTTCATAATCAAAATCATTTATATTTAATGTAATAATTTTAGTTTTTTTATTATGAGTTTTTTTTTTTTTATGAGATGATTTTCCTTTTAAGCAATATTTTGATAAAGATTTTTCACTTTTTTTTATACTAACATTATAATTTTTTGCATATAATAATGAGTTTTCATGTTTTAAAAATTTGTACGTAGAATTAAAATCAATTTCATTTTTATTTTCAATACACATATTCGAATATTCACAATTAGAACATTCATCAAGAGAAGATTCTGATATGAAATTAAAATCACTAAAGTTTTCACTAGATGAGCTATAAGACATATCTGATAATTCTTCAAAATCTGAAGTAAAACTGGAAGAAACATTACTTAAATTAATTAGATTTGTGTCTTTATATAAAGGATTGGTTAAATTTGTGTCCTTTAAGTTACAATTCTGAATATTTTGATTTACCTTATTATCAATTTTTTCTATTAAAACATTATTATTATTATATGTAGAATTATTTTCATTTTTTAAAAATGGGTAATCTATATTAGAAGAAAAAATAGGTTTTATATATTCATTCATATTATCTTCTTCTAATGTATTAACTTTTATAAAATTCTGTTCAATTTCTTTTTGTTTTTCTTCATGTTTCTGTAATTTCCTTTGTTTCCTAATTTTTTTTTGAAATATTTCATCTTTTTTTACTTTTTCATGATTTCCTTCATTTTCTCTCCTTTTCTTATATGCATCACCTTGTTTTATATTTTCTTTAGTTTCCCAATTTCTTATGTGTAACCCTTCACATACAATAACAAAATCAAAAAGTATTTCTGAATTTTTTTTAAAATCAACTAATATTTTATCTGCACTTTTTGATAAAGTATATATATTTTTAATAGTAACATCATATTTATTTTTTCTGCATATATTTCTCATGTTCAACGAAATTTCATGAAAAGGACTATTACTATCTCTCTTTTTTATGTTTTTCTTATCTTTACATTTAATATCACTTTTGCTATAGCGTTTTTTCATTTGTTCTTTATTTATTATTGATCTGCTTTGCAACATTTGATTACAAAAATCATTATTATTCACTTCGCTGTTCATGAGAATATTTAAATATCTATTTGAATTATTATTATTTACGTTAGTTAAAATGTTTCTATTAAAAGGTAAATTATTTGAATCTAACAAGTTTGAAAAATTTCTATTATCAATTCTCATATTTAATATATTATTGTATAAAATACTAAGAAACATATATTCATTGTTATAAAAAAATGAGGAATTTTGGATATTATTAGCATCATTATTACTAGTTAAATTTGTATTCAAATTTAAATTGGCAATATTGCTTAAATTTATGCTAATTCCTGCATTCTCATCATTACCATCTCTACTTGTACTAATTCTAGAATTATTATTTAAATTTATATTAACATCTGTGCTACTAACATTTAAATTATTGTTGTTATCTAAAGAATTGATATTATGCAAATTTTCATTAATATTTATAATATCAGTATTATTTATATGATTATTATTGCTATCTTCACTATTATCTATATTGTTTGATAAAACATTACTAATATAATTTGATCTATTATTACGGTTTAAAATATTATGAGAATCATTTAATACGTTGTTTTCATAATTGTTCCTACTATTATTTAAATAGTTTTCTGTTATACTTTCATAATTTTGATTATTATTATATGTATTATTTATAAAATTATTTTGCAATATTCTAAAATTATGTATGCATTGAATAAAAGAACTATTATTGTTAGGAATTTCTAAATTACTTTCACCCCTTAAATTTTGATTATGATTTTGCATAGAACCTTCATTAATTTGAGCATTTAAGTAATTTACACTTTCTCTTATTGGTATATTAATATGAGAAATATTTGTTCTATATTTAATATGATTCCCAAATTTTTTAATAGAAGGTATTGAAGAACTTTTATCAGATTCATCGTTAAAATCTGATGAAGAATTTATGCTTTTTTTTCTATCCATATTTAATAAATGTGAATTAACTTTCCTTAAATTTTTTATTTCCATTTGAATTGTATTATTTACAATACCACTTAGATGTGATTCTGCTATTTTGCTATTTGAAAATATTTTTGCCATATTAAAATTATTTTTGATTATACATTTTCTTTTGTTATTATTTTCATCTCGGCTAAAATTTAAAGTATAATATATATTACTATCTTCTCTTAATTTATCCGATTGAGTATCAGATGAGAATTTTTCGCTATCATCCTTAATCTCATTTGATAAATGAATTATGTCTAATAGGTTATTATTATGATCACGTAATTCATAAATAATTAATATCTTTTTATTAGGTAATCCTTCTTCTATTTTTTTAATATTATTTTTTTTATTTAAACAAAAATATTGTGTATTACTTTGTATATTTTTTATTACTGTTTTTAATTCTTTAATATATTTTATAGAAACTTCGTTATAATTGGTTAAATTTTTTTTACCTTTTTTATTATTTATAATATATATGAACTTTTCGTTTGAACATAGTTGATTTTTATTATAAAATATATATTTATATCTATCTTTAATAAAATCTCTGAATATTTTTGATATTTTTTTAAGAACAAAGTTAGCTCTCTTGTAACTATACATTAAAGTATAATGGATTATTTTATTTTTTGAATTAATATTCCTATAATCATTTACGCTAGATAACGAAAAAACATAATGCTTTTCTTTTTCCAACAAATTATAATTTTTTTTTGTGCTATAAATAAACCTTTTATTAAGTGTTTCATCGCTGCTAGTGCTTTCATGAAGCAAATTTTTACTAATTACTTTTAATTTTTCATTATTCATTTGATTTTTCTTATTTTTTTTTTCTTTATTTTTATTTAATTTCAATTTATTTATTTTATTTTTTTTAAAAATGGTCTTGTAACTATTATACGTATAATTATCTTGACTTAACATATTATTAGATAAATTTCCTTTACTTTTTTTTTTCATTTTTCTTTTTTCTAATGATGAATTAAAATTTAAGAAAATATTTTTACGAAAGTATTTGAGATACCAATTTTTTAAGAAATTTTCAGAATTAATTAATAATGTATTTTTGTCGAATAATTTTAAATGAAAATTTTTTTTTGAACTAAATTCTTTGATATATAATTTTTTCATTTTATGAATAGTTGAATAAATATTGTAACAAATTCTACATCTTATATGAAATATTTCATCTCCTATGCAAGCTTGTTTTAAAAACAAAACAATTGAATCACTTGGAAAATTATATGAAATTGTTAAAAGTATATTTTTTAAATTTTCTTTTCTAAGTATAAAAAAGAGAGATAAATCTACTGGAATTTTACTTTTATTTAAAAGAATATTTGTTACCATTTTTTCTACATACGAAATATTTTTATAATTTTTCTTTAAAATACAAGAATTTTTTTCCTTTCCTAATTTTAATTCACTATCAAAATAATTCAGATGATATATTTTTTTATTAAATTTATCAACAAAATCTATAGAATTATTTATATGATTATTTTTACTTATTATTTTATTATAATAAAATGTATAATCATCATCAGAATAACATGATTTATTATATAATGTTTTTCTCTTTATACTTTTTTTTTGATAATTTTTGTATATTTCTTCACTTTTATCTAAGTAATTTTTTAATATAGGTACATAATTATTTTTGTCTAAAACTAGGTTATCTACATTTTTGTGTTTATAATTATGTAGCTTAATTATTTCATAAAAACTATCTGATAAATAATTAAAACTAATATGCTCCTTATAAAAATAACTTTTATTTAACCTAAATTTTTCAAAATTTTTCTTTTTAATTTTTGATAAGTTAAAATTATATGGTAAAATATTTTGTATGTTTATATTTTGAATTTTCGTCAAATCATTTGAACAATTATAGAATTTTTTTTTTTTCGTAGCATTTAAATTTATATTTATTTGTGAATCTTTGATAATTGTGTTTATATTTAATAAGTTATGCTTTTTCTTTTTAGCATTATGGTATATATTACCAAAATTAGAACTTTTTATATTTTTTTTCCTTTTTTTTCTATTCTTTTCATTATTACTAAAAAAAACATATTCTCTATTATCACTAAACAAATTATTTACTTGAAAATTTTTATGTACAAAAGTGTTTTTAAAATAGTTTAATGCTTCATCATAATTATATCTTCTTCTAAAATAATAGAAATTATTCAAATTATATATATGTATATTATGGGTATTTGATCCAATAGCTAATAAATTTTTTTTGAAATTAAAAGAAATAGCCCAAGTAGAGGTATCTGATTTTACGTATATTTTATTATTAAAAACAATATCTGGTTGTAAGTATACATGAACAGATCTCAATATTTTATCATTATAATCTACATTAAATAAATTAAAAGTAAATATATTAAACTGCTTCCAAATGTTATGATATTTTATTTTAATTGAAGGATCTAAAAATGTTTCTAATTTTTTGCTATATTCTTCGTAATATTTATGTTTTATATATAATTTACAAAAATTAACAAATTTTTTTCTTTCTTCTTTTAATAAGTTTAACTGTTTCATATATAACATATAATTCTCTATATTTTTATTTAAATATTTTAGTTGCATTTCCTTGTTATCACCATAATATTCTTTTATATTTATTTCACATTTTTTTTGAGGGTAATATAAATAATTATTATTTTTAAGATTTATAATATTTGATAATATCTTTTTATTATCAAATATATTCCCTTTCTTATGTTTTTTTTTTTTTTTTAATGATTTAAAAAAAAATTTATGTTCATATAATTTTAATATATTTTTAGTTTTTTCATATATAGGTAATTTATATGTATAATCACTTTCTTTATTTTCATCACTTGATGATTTTAAATACTCATTTACAAGTTGGTTATCTTGTCTAAATGAATTGATATAATCATTTTTTTCATTTAATTCTAAACTTGATCTCAAATTGTATCCTATATAAACTTTTTCACGAAACTTTCTATAAAAGTTTATTTCTTCTATTTCTTTTTCATCATTATCTAAATAACTATTGTAGTTATTTTTTTTACAATTTTTTTTGTTTTTTTCGATACGTTCACTTTCCTTTTCTTCCTCATATTCTTCCTCACTCCCAAGGCTACTATAAAAATCACTGATTTTAAATTTTTTTTTTAACATATTACTTTCTACTTTTTTTTTATCTGAATAACTGCTTATATATTTCTTGCTTCTTAATATACACTTATAATTCTTCTTATATAAGTCTTTTTTTTTTATTTTTAAAAAAGGATTTCTTAATCCTTTTTGAACATTCTTATTTGCAAAAATTTTATTAGACCAGTTTTTTTTTTTTTCTTTTGATACAATTGATTTAGATTTATTTTTTTTTTCTTCCTCTAGTTTACGTAACAGTATACTTCTTTTTTCTTTTATTTTATTTTTTGTGTAATCAAAATGATCATTTTTATATAATTGAAGGATATCAATGAATTCATTTGAATAGTTGTTTATGCATTCGCCATTATATATTAAATTTAAAATAAAATTGTTTTCATCTATTTTTAATTTTTTTAAAAAATGGTATGGATCATTATGAAAACCTTGGAAATGAGGAGAATTATTCATCTGATAACTTATATTTTCGCATGTTTTATCACTATATAAATTTTTTTCTAGTAAATTTTTTAATTTTTTTTTAATATTTATGCACTCAACAATTTTTTCAACATAGTAAATATTTGTATCTTCTGACCATCCAACACATATCAATACACTTTTTTCCGATTTCTCTTTTTCCTCACACCTAATATTAACATAACCTTTGGAATACATATGAGGTGATAAAATCAAAACAGGATTTGGTATATTTGACTTTTTTAAATAAAACTCTTTTTTAATTTCATTATAAAGGTATTTTATTTTGTTCATATTCTTAAAACAATTATTATTTTTTGTTATATCATGATGATTAAAATTAATGAGAAAGTTCCTTTTATTATAATCATTTTCGTTTATATCATTAGTATCCATAAATTTGTTCATTTCATATACGTAAATATATTGACCGTAAGTTATAAATATTAATTCATATTTTTTACTTACACATAAAAGATTTAATGCGAAGGAAATAAGTTTATGTTCTACACCTTTATTTAAATCAAAGGAAAATAATAAATCAACATCACAATGTTTTAAAGTATTTACATTTTGCCAAGGGCTAGCTTTTTTTGGTAGTTCTTTCATTTTTTTTTTTTTTTTCTTCATACATATATGTTAAGGAAAAAGAAAAAATATAATAAAAAAATTCTCTTAATTATTCTCAAATTGTGAGAAAATAAATAATTAATTTATAACTAACAAAAAACAAAAAGAGTAATTTGATTCATATTGTTTAATTTTAAATCTTAAAGTTACGATTAATGTGTAATTTTTTTTAGAATGGTTTAAAAAAATGTATCTGTGAAATTTTTTAAAAATATGAGAGAAAATTTTATGGCTATTTTTCTTTTTTTTTCTCTCTTAAAAAAATAAAAAGAATTCTTATGTATTCATTATAAACTAAGAGATATACTTTATAATGAGTTTATATAACTAAAAAAAATTTTTTTAATTCTTTTTTTTTTTTTTTATTTTAAAAAAATGAATCTTGATTATTTTACATTTTTGATTAAAAAAAAAAAAAAATTGTTTAATATTTTGACAATGTGAAAAAAAAAAAAAAAAAATGATTCACATATATGGTTTTTGTCAAAAAAATAATTATAATAAAAATATTCTATCTTATTTAAATACATTTTTTTTTCATATTTTAATTTGAAATTATTTAATAACAAGATAATCAAATCCTGTTTTAAAGGTGTTTTAGTGAAAAGTATTAAGCTTAGAAGTTCTTTTCTTATAACGTTCATTATATTTTTATATATTACAGTAGGTAGCATATTTTTCATTTTTATTACAATGTTTTATTCATAACATATTTCTATGATTTTATATAGAATTTATGTCTTCCTTTTTTTCTTTTTTTTTTTTTAACAATTAAGGCTAAAACAAACACAATATTAAAAGATTTTTATTCTTTTAAAAAATACTCTTTAAATAATTATTTTTTTTGATATATGTTTAATTATGGAAAATATTTCTTTTATATAAACTTTTTATTGTATTACAAATAATTTTTGTTATAAAATTTTTGTTGGATATTGAATTACATTAATTAAAAATTCATTTTACTTGAAATGTGTTACAACATCAAAATTTATGTAAATTTTTTTTTTTTAATTCAATACTGCATTTCATTTATTTTTCTATAAAAAAATTTACAAAAAAAATTATTACATATTTTGTTTATATCTTTAATACATATTAATACAGAAAATTTAAAGAGAATATAACATATGTATTATTAGATTTTTACTTTTCTTATGCTGCCATCTATATATTTTTTTTTAATTTTTTTCTAATTAATGAAATAAACTTTTTATAATACTATTCCTTTTTTATTATATTAGAGTCTATTATTTAGAGATGTATTATTTTTTAAAACAAAATATCAAATCTTTTACATTTGAAAGATTTATGAATTTTTAATATTAATAAAATAAAAAAATACAATATATAATAAAAAAACTGAGATCATTTTTAAAGCATATATAAATAATTTTGTCTACATTTTTTTTCCAAAAAAAAAAATATATAATTTCATAATATTTCAAATATGATAAAACTGAAAAATACTAACAAAAACAAGTGTGTATGTATTAAATAATTAAAATAGACTAATTTAATAATTTCTCAAAATATAACATACAAAGAATTATTTAAGTAATCAAATTTGTAACGTTACATATTTTGAAGAATTAAAAAACATTTTCTTCTTTTAATTTTTATTACATATGAAATTACATATAGGAAAATTTTTTTAATTCAATGAATATAAGTACTTTATTAAATTAATATGAAAAAAATAAATAAATGAAAAACTATACGAAAAAAAGTAAAAAAATAAAAAATACTTCCGAATTCATTAAAATGTGTGCAATATATTTTGGCCAAATATTTTTTTTTTTTTATTAAAGAATACTAAGTGAACAATTAATAAAAAATTATTAAGTTATTTTTATATATATTATTAATTAATGTATTTTAACAAAGAAAAAATTCAAATATTTTAGTTTTACACTGATATACATACCGAATTAAAAAAATGTAAAAAAACAATTTTAAGATAAATTTTCTTTTTAGTATTTTTCTTAAAAGTTACCTTCATTGAAAATATTAGAGAACATTTTAAGATATATAACATGATGATTTTAGAATATTTCATTTATTATTTTGGGATGAAAAAGATAAAATAGCCATTATTATTTAAAATATTCTAGAATTTCCATGTTGTTTTCATAGCATATAGTGTTATTACATTTAGATAAATATAATAATTTAATGGGAAAAACGAAGATAAAATTTACATGTATTCTGAAAACATTTACACGTTTAACGTCCATAAATGTTTTTTTAAGTTATTTTTTTTTTTCTTTTACTTTTTTCTTTTTTTTTTTTTTTTTGTTTCCACTTAACATCCTTTAACTTTTTTGTTAACATTATTATTTTAGTTTATTTTTATATAATAATTTCTATTACTTTCTTTCTAATTTTTTTTATTAAATCTTACAAATATAAGTATTTTTCTTAGATCATAATTTTTATTAAAAAATTAATATTAAGTGAAAGTTTTAAGAACTATATCTAACTATACTAAAAAAAAATAATTTTTTTTTTATTTTTTTTAAATCTGTTTTCATCTATTTTTATTTTTTTGAAAAATGTTTGTATGATAAAAAAAAAAAAAAAAATAAATAAATAAATAAAAAATAAAAATAAAATGATATACTAAAACTAATTAATACATAAACAAAGAAAAGAGATATGTATCTATTATTATATGGTATATAATAATGTTGACATTAGTGTGTTTAATTAAAATACACCTATTATGTATATTTTAACGCAAAAAAAAAAAAAAAAAATTCTAATATTAAAATTTAAACTGTATATATCTCATGGAATTAATATTTCAAATATAATATTTCACATTAGAAATATCTATACATATCCTTTTTTTTTTTTTTTAGATTTATGAATTTTAAGTGTAAACATACTACTTTATATTTCAATATTCAAAGAGTTAAAGTAAAATAACTATTAAAAATATGATACTTTTATAATAAAAAACATAAATTTATATACTATAATAAAGCATTTATTAGATGGTATTTCATTTAATTAATATAAATAATTTTCAATTATTTTTTAATACTACCAAAAAAAAGTTAAATTCTTTAAATAATGTTTAGGAAATACATATTTAAATTATGTAAAATATTTTAATGATTCTTTTTATTCACAAAAATATATTGATTTAAAATAAAAATATATACTATACATGCCACAAGATAATTATCCACAAATTAAATATAAATAAAATATTTAAGAAAATTTTTTTAAAAAATTTTTGCTTATACAATTTTTATAAAAACGAGATATATAAAATTATTAAAGAAGATAAATTAAGAAAATTTTGTACATAAAAAATTATTTTTATAGGTGAAATATATTATTGGGATAATAACAATATATAAGTAGTTTTTACTGAAATAAGTATACCTTTTTTTCATATTGTTTAAGTTCATGAAAAGTATATTGAATACAAAAATTTTATTTATAACAACAAAAAACTACGGTGTAATAATAAAAATGTTCAATATAGGAAAGATTATTTACTTTAATAATTAATTACTCATGTAAGATAAAATATCACAGTATATATGAAAAAGAATAAAAAGAATCGATATAATTTTATTTCAATAATTCTCTTCATAAAATAAATTTATTTTTTATGTATAATTATTTGTATGTATGTATATTTTTAACATATGAAATATAGAATTTAATAGTTAATGAAAAAATTAAATATTAATAAAAAAAGATATAATACTTTTTTCCATAAATGTATCTTAATATATCATAAATAAATAATGAATACTTTCGTTTTAAAGTATTTGTATTGCTATAGATTTTTTTTTTCTTTTAATTATTATATAAAGAAATGAAGTTTGTTTTTTCCAAAACATACATGAAATACTTCCTTATAAAAATAACAATTAAAAGCTAATGTTATTTTTTATATTTAGTCTATTAATATATAAAGAAAAAATAAAGTAAAATAAAATCAAATCAAATCAAGAATTAAATAATTTATTAAAATGTAATTAATATTTAAAGAACATTAATAATTTGCTAATAATTATTTTGTTATAAAATATTTAGATTTGTACAAAAGAAATTGAATAAATGAATTATAAGTTATGTATTATATAAAAAAAAATAATTTTATTTTACATCATTATGATTTAAAATTTTAAAATGGAATATGATATATTTTTTATATTAATTTTTAGGAAGGATTTAACATTGATTATTTTATAGTAAGTATTTTTTTAATAACATTTTAAAAATATTTATTTAAATAATTCTGTATTTATTTTTATACACATTTATCAGTTTTTTTTTTTTTTTTTTTTTTTTTTTTTTTTTTTTTTTTTTTTTTTTTTTTTTTTTTTTTGTTATATAATGTAATTACAACACATATTTTTCAAAATAATCTATACATTTTAACATACGAAAAAATTTTCATAATTCTTTTAATAATATTTAAGAATCTTTAATTAATTTTAAGAAGATATTTTAAAGATATGGAGTAAATTAAATTAACAGTGGTATTTTAAATATTCATTTAAAATTTTTTTAATACATAATTTTGAAAAAGGTAATAGTTTTTATAATATTAAAAAAATTCAAATTATAGGAAATCATAAAATGATATCAATGTATTATAAATAATTAATACTTTTTTTTCACATTTGAAAATTTTTAGGCAATTATTTATTATAAAATATTTTATTTAATTTTTTTTTTTTTTATAATTTTAATTTACTCAAAATAAAAAATGTAACATAATTTATCATTTCTTTACAATTGCTAAAATTGTTTTGTTATCATCATTTTAGAAAAATATATATTATATCGTAATTCTAATAAAAAATGATATATTAAAAAAAATAACTTTATCAAAATAGTATGCACTTAATAGCATAAGAATGTAGATGAAAACAAATTAAAAAGGATCGTTATAGAATATATAAAAAAAAAAATTAATAAATTTTCTTACACTTCTAAATTGTATAGGTTAATATTGTAGTAAATAATAAAATAATCACTTATGAAAAAAAAATTTATAATGATAGTTATCTTTAAAAAAAAAAAGATGCATTTTTTAATTGTCTTTAGTGCTTTGAAAAGAGTATGTATTCAAATTTCCTATTATTTTTTAAGAAAGCACTTAGGAAAAAATTTAAATAATTAAAAAAGAAAAAATTATATTAAATAATACTCTTAATGAAAATATTAATGTGATATCAACGCACATATTTTATTAAAAGTGCACTTAATAGCACAATTATACTAATTCAAACAAATATTTTATTCTCAAAAGAAAAATAAAAAAGATTCTTATGTATATATATATATGTATATATATATATATATATATATATATATATGTATATATATATATAAACATATATAAATATATATATATATACATATATATATGTATATATACATATATATATATATACTTATACAATTTATAATATTTTCTTAATATAATTCATTTAAATTAATAAATAATTTATGCAAAATTAATGAAAAAATATGTGCAGATTATGAAATATAATGTAATTTTTTTAAAAACTTAAACAAGTAATGAGTTATAATTTTTTTTTAAAATATAATAAAAAAAATTGTAAAAGCTTGTATGTGTATTTATTTATTTTGATATTTAAGTATTCTAAAGGATATGATTAATTTTTATTCTTTAGTCTTTACATATTATAAGATTTAAAATTTTATGTACATAAAATTTTTAGACAATTTTTTATTTAGATAAAATGATTTTTTACATAAGATACATTGTTATATTTTTTCATTTAATTTACCATAATTTGGTTAATAGTATAAATATAAATCAAGAAAAAAAATTAACAAATGATAATATTTTTACTGATAAATTTCAACTTGACAAAAATTCATGGAATACTGTAAATAATAAATTTAATTTAAATGATTTATCAGAACATTCTCTAGTTGAATCATTTTTAGAGAGTGGCAATCAACCAAGTGAAGGATCAAATGAAGGTGAACCAGGTAAATCTAAAAGGAGAAAATCACGAAAAAAGAAACTAGTTCCTATTGTCGTTGGAGGTGCAACCTCTGCAGATAATCCAAATCCAGATCCTAATTATAACCCTGTAGCAAGCGCAAAAGATTTATATGATTCTGAATACAGTACGGATGATAATGGAAATGAAACGCAAGGAACACAAGGAACAGAAGGAACACAGGGAACACAAGGAGCAGAAGGAACAGAAGGAGCAGAAGGAACAGAAGGAACAGAAAGAACACAAGGAACAGAAGGAACAGAAGGAACAGAAGGAGCAGAAAGAACAGAAGGAGCAGAAGGAACAGAAGGAACAGAAGGAACAGAAGGAACAGAAGGAACAGAAGGAACAGAAGGAACAGAAGGAACAGAAAGAACAGAAGGAACAGAAGGAACAGAAGGAACAGAAGGAACAGAAGGAGCAGAAGGAACAGAAGGAACAGAAGGAACAGAAGGAGCAGAAAGAACAGAAGGAACAGAAGGAGCAGAAAGAACACAAGGAGCAGAAGGAACAGAAGGAACAGAAGGAACAGAAGGAGCAGAAAGAACACAAGGAGCAGAAGGAACACAAGGAGCAGAAAGAACACAAGGAGCAGAAGGAACACAAGGAGCAGAAGGAACAGACGAAAATATGTATGGTTCACAAGCTAGTGGAAATGTTGATTTAAGTACTAGCAATCCAGATAATAAAGAGCAACGTACAAATCCTAAAAGTGAAGATGATATGTATGGACCTTGGAAATTTTTACTTGATAATGAAAATGCAAAAGGTGAAAGTAGTATGGGAGGTAATATTGGACAGCCATCCATAAAACACGATTCTTATAATCCATTTGAAGAACCTCAAGGTGAAAGGCAGCATGAACCTCCAAAGACAGGTGCAGAGCAACAAGCTTCATATAATCCATTTGAAGAACCTCCAGAGACAGGTGCAAGACAACAAGCTTCATATAATCCATTTGAAGAACCTCCAGAGACAGGTGCAAGACAACATGCTGCATATAATCCATTTGAAGAATCTCAAGATCATTTGGAGCTTGAACCTCCAAAGAGAATAATACAATCACATGATTCTTATAACCCATTTGAAGAATCTCAAGATCATTTGGAGCTTGAACCTCCAAAGAGAATAATACAATCACATGCTTCTTATAACCCATTTGAAGAAGCTGACGGTAGCGTAATACAACATAAACCTGTAATTAAAACTTATGCAAAAGGTGAATACAATCCATTTACGGACGAAATTAGTGATGGAACATTTCCTGATTATAGTGATAAGGAGCAACCTACGACTCCAGGATTATTAAAAACACATGATGATGAATATAACCCATTTACTATTCCAAGTAATACTGGACCATATACCATTTATGATCCAAAGAAAATGATGTCTCATAAGGGTTTTGGATCCGAACCAACAGGTCAAGATGATGGAATGGGATTTGGAGGAGAAGGTGCATATCATCCAAGTGTTTTAACAAGACAACAACCTATATGGGGTCCAAATTTTGCAAATACACATAAAATGACTGGAGCATACATGGACTCAGGTAGAAGCTCTCCTTATGAAGATGATGTGTATAGTGTGACGGATATAATTGATGCACGAGCTAAAACAATAGAGGATAAATATAATAAAATATTAGATGAAGAGTTTAAGACAAAAGATGAAGAAGGTGGAGAAAAGAATAAAAGTAGATTAGCTGCATTTCTTAATAGAATAAATCCATTTAAGAAATCACCTGATTCAAGTAAAACTGCTAAACCTGATAAATCTAATAAACCTGATAAATCTAATAAACCTGATAAATCTAAAAAATCAGATAAATCTGATAAACCTGATAAATCTGATAAACCTGATAAACAAGATGATCAACTTTCCAAAAATATAAAATTTACAGATGACTTAATTTTGGATAAGCAAACTGTAATGAGAGATCAAGAAATTCCAAATAAATATGAATCAGGTGTAAAAACCCATTTATTTAGTTGCCCAGAAAAAAAATTTTTATTTGATAATTTACATTCCATAATGGATCAATTAGAAATTTTTAGAAATTATGAAGAATCAGCAAGAGATAGTATGGAAAATACAAATCAATGCTTTAAAGATTTAGGAATTTATGATAGTAAATTAAGTAATATAGTTACGGGTCAAGGATCTATGGTTGGTACTTTTGGTATACATGATTTGGATAGTTCTATATTTCAAAGAGATCTTATCAAGTATGCTCCAGGTGTTGATTATATTACATTGGCAGATAGATTAACCGTAACAAAAGAAGAAGCAAAGAATTTTGACGGTTTGAATTTTTGCTTATTAAATCCAAGTAAGTTAGCCATACTACTTAAAAATAAAGATTTAAAAGATGCAGTTGGAAAAGGTAGTAGAAATTATAATGCTAACTATAAAAAATATATGGAAAAATCAATAACATGTTATATTGAATCTTTAATATATGACAATGATGAAGAACAACCAGAAAATATACAAAAATTACTTTCTGTTGTAACGCAAAAATTACACTTAATTCAAGTTGGATTAAGTTTTAGTAACAAGAGAATGGTTACAAGAATATTTAATAAAATTAAAAAAGATTTCAATTTAACTATTCATAAAATACGTATACTTAGAGATAATATGGAAATTATATCATTTCATCTTAGAGAAATTGCAACAAGGGATTTGTGTAACAACTTTGTGAGAGATAACGATTACTTCAGAGCAATGGGAGAAATGATTGCAAATGTAAGAACTTATGTTCAATTATATAATTCATGTATTTCAAATGTAAGTGTTTACAATAGCGTTATAGGAAAAATTCATGATAGAATGAAAATGTTAATGAAAATTATTCCAAGAAATAATATACTGAAAGATTTTCATTTTAATGCTCTCTTAAATAAAGGAAAGAAGAAGGGAAAATCAAAAAAATCTAAACCTGATAAATATGAAGATGCTTCTGTAAAATCATTTGCTCATGCTCAGCTAGAAAGAGGAACTATGCCTCAAATTATTAATGACTTCTTTGAATCTAAAAAAAAAGAATTATCATCAGTTCTATCTAAAATGAAAATGGAGTTAATTGCACATTCAGATGATTTAGATGCATCACTACCTATAGAGAACAAAAGCAAAAATGGAAAAAAAGTTCAAAAAATTATAAAGAAATATAAAGGAATTATAAAGAAATTTTTCAATCAAATTCGTCAAGATTATGCTAAATTAATATTAATTCGATATGAAGGTCACCTAAATAGAAATTACCTATTATTTGAACGTCTACTTTAATTCTTGATTAGCAGATAATTTTTTTACCTAAATATATGTAATTGAAATTCTAAGATAATGATTATTTAAATTAAGAAGATTTTACTTGAATAAATTTTTATAAAATAATTTTCGAAAAAAAACTGAATCATTATATTATTTTTGACATTTTTACTTATGAAAGACTGTATTGTATTGTATTTATAGTAGCATCTTTCATTTTTAAACCTTTTTTAAATGTGGTTTTTTTTTTTTTTTTTTTTTGTTTTTAATTTTTTAGTATATTGTAAGTTCATTTATATATATATATGGATTAATAAATATATACATGATTAACTAATAAAAATATTTGTAGGTAGGTAGGTACATTGTTAATTTAAATACTATTTATAAGTATTTTATTTTAATTTTTTTTGTAAATTTTTATGGAATTTTTTTTTATGTTCTATAAATATAATTACAATGTATTTAAGTATATAATTCGTACTTTTTATAAACAATTGTTTCTATAAAATTTTTTGTTACACCAAATCAATATTACATATTTGAATAGCTTTTTAAAAAGTAAATTATATTTTTTAACTTATATATATTATATTTTATTTTACTTTTTTAATACAAAATAAAAAATTTTTGTTACCTTATTTTTACAATTTTTGGTATACATGTATATTTGTATATAATATATTTATTTGTATAATTATATATAGAAATTTTTATAAGGAAAAAAAAATAATAATTTCACAACAAATTTTAATATTTAAGTTTTTTTTTTTTTTTTTTTTTTTTTTTTTTGTTGTTGTTGTTGTTGTATAAATTATGACTTTTTTCTGATAAACAATTGAAAAAAAAAATTCATGAGGTATTTATAATGTATTTATTTTTATATAATGAATTAGAAAAAGAAAAAAGAAAAATAATATTATGAACTGCTTTAACTATAGTTTTTTTATTAATAACAATTTTTTATTTGCTAAAAATATGAATTACTCAATGTAATTTTATAATATAGAAGAAATAATTAATTTAAATAAATCTTCATTGTAATATCTAATAAAAAAAATTATATCTATTAGAAAAATTACAATAATATATAGTATTAAGAGTGTATATATAATAAAAAATGTTATTTAAAGACATTAAATTTTTTTACTAGAAGGAAATGACAATTATATAATTATTTTTATAAAAATTACGTTAAATTTTATTTTAAAAATATTTAAATTCGTTATTTATTATAAAATTATATGATTTTACTTTACGAAAAAAAATAAATTATAATTAAGATATATATATATATATATATATATATATATATATTATATATATAGATTATTTCTGAAACTGTGTCTTACTAAAATAAATTTATACACTGCATTTTTAATTTGCTAAAAAAAAAATTATAAAATCATAGTAATAATTATTATATTTCATAAATATTTTAAATAAATAAAAAAACTATTTAATATCTAAAATTTTTTTTTTCTCTTTAATTTGAATAAATTAACAAAAAGTAATTTATAATAAAATTTTGTCTAACTTAACTAAGAAATTTCACTAACTTAAAATTTCTAGAATGTTAATATAATTTCTAAACAAATAGAAAAAATATATTAATATAAAATAAAGTAATAATGGTATATCATATATTATTAAGAAAAAAAAAAACATTGTATAATTCAGTAAAAATGAATTTTATATTAATCTTTTAAAAATGAAATGTAAAAATATTTTCAGAAAAAATTGATATTTTTTGAAGAATGATCTTATATTTTAATAAATAATAGATTTACTCATGTTTAGAATATTTCTTTTTGTAATATAATAGTAGTCTTTCTATTTTTCTTAATTATTTTATTTTCATTACCTAATTCTTTTTATTATAAATAAGTATTTCCATACCTTTTTATTGTTCTTCTATAGTTTATATAATAAATAAAAATATTTTAATATTAAAATATTATAATATACAAAAAATTATTAAAATAGTGAATATTATTTTTTTGTGTTAAAAAAAACATATTAATTTTTGTTTTTATATTTATAGTTTTTATAGTTTTATCAACGTATATATTAATAATCCTTGTTATAACTATTATATTTATTATTTCTATATTTACAAAAAATTATATCCTTCTTTTATTTCATTTATATTTAACAATAGGAATTTTAACTATAAATTTTATTCTTATATAAATTATTTTAACTAAATTGCACTTTTTATAAATAAGTACTGGTTAAAATATATTTTATTAATTTTATTCATACAATTTCACTTAAAGAAATAATGTAAAATTAGTATATTTTTTTTTTTAGATAATTATTATATAATGTCTCTTCATTTAAAACATAAATTTTTATAATAAAAGATTATTTATTTTTTATACTAAAAGAACAATATAATTAAAGTTATATAATTTCTTAAATTAATAAAGACGATTTATTTATGCATTTTTAATGTGAAAATAATACTTTAGGTTTTTTTTTTTATTCCTTTTTTTTTTCTATATATTTTTTTTTTTAATATTAAAATAAGTTTCAATTTATTCAGAACATTCCTACTTATATATATATATATAAAAACTTTTTTCTTTTATTTATTACATGATAAAAATTCACTATAATTATACTTACATATATGAAATTTTTTCGATAGAATAGTTATTATTAATCATTTTATTTGTGTAACGTTTTTTTTTTTCTTAATAAGGTAAAGTTATTTTATGAATAACTATGAATACTATTTTGTTTAAAATTTTTTAAACAAAAGAAGCTATATTCTTAAAAATTGTGTAAAATTTTAAGAAAAAAAAAAAAAATAAAAATAATGAATATTTAACTTAATAAAAATAACAATATTAAAATATGTAATTTTTATAATTCAATTTTTTATATAAAATACTATATGAAGGAGATATAACAAAACTGTATATGTTGTTCTTTATTATGAATAAAATTTTATATAGTAATTAAAAGTTTTTTTTCTTTTATGAATATAAAAATTTATATGTAAATAATGTTATTTATTAATAATCCTTTAAATGCTATATTTTTTAAAATTTTAATAATTAAATTTTCCTTTCATGGGAGAATTTTTTTGCTTTATTATTAGAATATCTCTGACTTTTATGCAGTAGTTTTTTCTTAATTTTTTTTTTTAATATATACAATTTTTCAATAAAATTTATTCTTTTATTTCAATTAAATAATTATAAAAAATAAAAAAGTTATTTTTATGATATGATAGAAATAAAATAGTTAAAATCTTAAACATTTTATATATTTAAACTTTATAAAGTATATATTTTTTTTCTATTCTAATTTTAAAAGAAAAAAAAAGTATAAATAAATGTATATATGTATATTTTTTTTCTAATTAAAGTATATTTTAAAATTATAAGTATTCATAAAAAATTTTATAGTGTGTTTTTTTTTAATGGTAGCAAATGAAATATGAATTTTTAATTTTTATTCAAAATTATGAAATCAAAACATTGAGTATTAATAAATTTATACATGTTAAATAATTTAGCTTGCTAAGTATAATATGTTTAAAAAAATGTTGAATAACCTCAATATTTATCTTTTAATTTAATAATAATAATTTTTTTTTTTTTTTCTTCATTGTCTGTATTTTTAAAAAAAAATTTTCTTTATATGAATTTTTGTTTCTTTTAATGCAAAGGAATGCAGTTGTTATTACATGAAATTAACATAAAAAAAAAAAAATATATATCCTAAATAATATATTACTATTTTTAATATATATATTCATACACTTATTCCAATATTTTATAAATAAATGTAATTTTTTTTTCATGTTCATAAGGAAAATCTTTTATTTTTTACTTAACTATGAAGTATTTTATAATTGTCTTTTTAATATATATAAAAATGTTATTTTAATTTGATTCTATACTCTATTTATTTAAATATTTTATATAAATTTTCTTTAAAAAAAAAAGAATAAAAATAAAAAATTTCATATACTATTTATATATTTATTTTTATTTCAAGAAGTCTAATTTTTTTACCAAAAATAAAACTAGCTTTTATGTTAAAAGATTTGAATATGCGTAAATAATTCTTTAAATAAATTTCATCATTTTGTATGTTTTTAACAAATAGTAAAATTAAATTATGCAATAAGAAAATGAATGAATTTTAAATAGTTTTAAAATATATTTATACATTCTTAAGGTTTTTTTTTTTTTTTTTTTCCACATGACATGTTATCTTTATAAAAATAATAAATAATTATCACACTCTTTTTTATTGTTTTAATATTCCTTTTATATTTCATACAACCATTTATTTTCATAATTCATATACTTTTTTTTTTTTTTTTTTTTGATTTTGTTTGTATTATCATTTAGTATAAATATAGGCCCTTTTATTTTTAATTTTTAGAAATACATTTTAATAAATTTTATATTATTAACATATTGCATATATATTTTTTATAAAAAGAATAAGTATCTACATAAATATAGATATAATTTATTAGATTTATTTATAATACAAATACTGTAATGAAATTTTAAAAATTTTTGTTCTTAATATAAATAATATTGAACATAAGGAATCTTTTAAATTTTAAAATAAATTTTCTTCATATTAGAAATAACTGTAATTTTAAATAGATTAATATTATTATAATTGTTTTACTTATTTAATCCTTTTTTTCTGTGTTATATTTATGTTAAAAATATACAAAAACTAAAATTGAAACAGACATAAAATTCTTAAATTCAAAATTAATAACTTGAAAATAATTAAAAATTTTTTTTTTTAAAAACATATATATATAATTATGTTATAATATTATAATTTATTATTGCGAATTTTTTTTATATTCAAAAATTATTTATAGGTTAAATAATAATAATTTTATTTGCCTGTTTTCAGCCTTTTTCTAATTTTTCTAACAGAACGACAATCAGGACGTGCTCCATTGTTAGCCTAAGAAAAATGAAGTATCATAATAGAAAATATAATTTTTTTTTTAAAAATAATTAAATTCATATAATGTATATAATAAAATTATAAGTATGTTGTAAAATGTATTACAAAAAATTCAAATAAAAACATTACCTTTTTAGGATATCTAGCACCAGGGCTCCTGTTCCAAAAGCATAATACTTCTTCCTTTTTTTTATTTAGAAACTTTTTATCAATTAAAAATTCACTATTAAAAAAAAAAGAGAAAGAATGATTTTTAATTTCATTCTCTTTTCTTATATTTAAGTTGCTACAAATAAAGTCACTCTTTCTAACATTCTTTTCGTAATTTTCTACTATGCAAGATTTTTTTATTTTCATATCTGCTATTAGCATATTCTTAAAAAAAAAATTATTAGATATAAACTTTCTCAAGTATGCAATTTTATTCATTTTGTAAAAAAAAAAAAAAAAAAAAAAAAATACCTTAATTAAATATATAATTTTATATGATTATACTTTTATCATTTTTGAGAATTTTAGATAAAATATATCAAGTATATATAATTATATTGATTTTTTATATATTTTAATAAAGTATCGTTGTATAATTAAAAACATAATATATATATCTATTTTATACTCATATTTTACGTTTAATTTATTTGTAATTTAATTTATAATGTTTGAAAATTTTCAATATATTTTCATTTACACAATTTATTTTATAATATTAATTGTTAAAATATTTATTCCATGAACTATAATTATTAAAAAAAAAAATAATTTTACAAAATAAGAAAAAAAGAAGATTGATTCTTAATTATTTTTCTCTTAATTACATAAAAAAAAAAAAAAAAAAAAATTGTTAATCTATAATTCTTAAAATAAGTGTAAAGTTCTGTTATTTTTTAATAAAATACTAATAATGTTCAATAACTTTTCTTCATATAAAATTAACATAAAAATATAATTTCATATTTTTTCTTTATATCCTTTTTATATATATTTATTTGTATTTTACAAGAAGCATAAAAAATATAACTTTAAGAATATTTTTTAGTTTAAATTCAAGAGTACAAAATATATACAAACAAAATATTTAATTCTTTTGTTCATATAGGGTAATTTATTATAAAAAGGAACTTAATATGATAATAATAAGAAATATTTTAATGCCATAATAAAAGTATAAATGTTGATTTTATTTTATAAATTGTGAGTTACTTTAATACCTATGTATTTTTATTACTAAAAATTATTATATAGTTTTGTTTGATTTATGAGTGTAACTTATAAATATATTTGTAAAAAAAAAAAAAAAAAATAGTTTTAAAAATATAAAATTTTTAATCATTTAAATATAACTTCGTTATCAAATTATATATATAATTAAATATATACTAATAAAAACAACTACAATAATGATGACAGTGGTATAATAGCAATAAATACAATAACATTTAATTTATAGGACCATGCTCATTTCATGTGTATTTAAATAAAGCTCTTATATAGTTTAAATAAATATAAATTAAATAAGTTTTTCAATATTATTATATTATAAAATTCATTTTTTTAATAATAAATTAATAAAATAAAATAAAGAATACAAAAATTAAAAGTCAAATTTTGTATATTTTTTCTTTTTTTTTTTTTTTTTTTTTTTTTT